CTGGCTCACGCGCACGCAGACAAGGGAGCTAACGTGGGCACGGTCCTTCGCAGCAGCCCGGCAGCGCCCGCAGCACGGCACGAGCGCTTCCTTCCCCGCCAGCCCCCCTTTCGAACCGCACCACCTGCAGCCCCGGGCACCCCCACGCTGGCCTCGCATCCTGCCGTCCTTCCTGGGCGCTGGTCCCCAGCCCCAAGCGGGATGAAGAGCTGGACTCTGGACCTACGTGCTCACCTTGAGGCACAGCCCTGGGCTGGCATCTCCGCATTGCGTCTGGCGGGGACACCCGCTTGACCTGGGGAGAGGGGCTGGGGGCCTCCGTTGTGCCTGTTTGTGTTTCATGACGCACACAAGGTCTCCCCGCGTCCTGGGGGACGGATCCTGCCTGTGAACAGCGAGGGCTGGCTGCTTCCTAAGGGCAGGGAGCCGGGGGTGACCCAGTGCCATCCCCAACGGGGGGCTGTCCCACAGGGGCTGAACCCAGCCAGGAGAGCCACGATCTGCTCACAGGGTCCATCAGCAGCCCCCGATGAAGTGAGCTATGAACCAGGTCCACGGTCCATCCAGGGTGTCCAGCCAGGGACAAAGGAAGATGGGGCCACCGGCAGAGCTAGAGACAGGCACCCCAACAGCACAGCCCAGGGCATGGCTGGGTGCCCACAGCTGAGCTTACATGCAGCTTAAAGGAGCCTAAATGGGGCATGGACGGAGGGTGGGCGTCCAGGTCTCAGGTTAGGCTGCTCAGGGCCATTAAGGTCTATTAGTGCCCCCCGCGATGGGCTCCTGGGGAGGCTGCCAACTTCCCTGCCAGCCACGGTGCTTCCTCACCCTGGCGGACCCCAGTAGCATGGACACCTTGTGGTCCAGGGAACAGTGCTGGTTGCTGCCCCCGAGGAGAGCGTGCTGCTATAGGGCATCAGTGAGGACACTGCTGGAGGAGGTCTCCTGGCCTCTTGCTGCTCATCCCTCCCGTGGGGAGCCAGCCACCCCGCGCCAGCATGCACACGAGTATCACGCGCAGCACAAAGCTTGGCAGCTCCGGCAGCTTTTCTCCACTTCTCCTCCCAGCCCATGACTCCCAATGTGGAGCTTTTCATGGCTTCGTAATAACTTGCAAATTACCCAGTACAAAAGGAGCTGTTTATACAACATTTTTGACAGTCCCACAATTCAAGTCATGCTGCGAGGTTTCTGTGGAGACCCTGCACGTCAGGCAAGTCATGCAAAAGCCAGAGCCGCCACCGTGGGAAACTCCTATCTGGGTGAGAGGACTCTACTGTCCCCCTTCCAGCCCCGGGAGAGGAGCCTGTGCAGCAGATACGCTCAAGGCAGAGCCCTGCGGCAGGGCAGGCTGCAGGGCTCATGTCTGCCAGGGTTTCTGCACCCAGGGTGTCTCGCTTGGGCTGTGCACACTTGACACGTGATCCTACCAGGTCTGTGCATTTCTTTGCACTCATGGGAGCTAAAAGCGTGGTTGGAGACGCTATGAAGGAGCACTGAAGCCTGGACTCAGTACATGGTGGTGCCTGAGCCTGCCAAAATGCAGGGGCACAGAGGCGTCTGGGTATGACCCACGCTTCCCTCAAAGCGCCTGCTGCACCATCAGCCACGTCTCCTGCAGGAGTCACTGCAGAAACGTGCGGTGGGAGGTGATGGCAGCCTGCGCCCTGCCCTGCCCTGGCCGGGGGCAGCCCCACAGCATG